CACACAGTGCCCTGTCCACAGGCACCACCCTCGCAGCTCCCATTGGCTATGGTTTCCTGCAAATGGGAGCTGCAGGGCCGGCGCTTGGGGTGCGGGAGCGTGCGGAGCCCCCTGGCTGCCCCTACGCATAGGAACTGGAGGACAGACATGCCACTGCTACCAGGAGCCACGTGGAGCCATGGCAGGCAAGGAGCCTGTGTTAGCCCCACTGTGTTGCTGACTGGACTTTTAATGAACTGGTCGGCAGTGCTGACCGGAGCTGCCAGGGTCCGTTTTCAACCAGGTGTTCCGGTTGAAAATCGGACACCTGGCAACTCTAGTTATGCTGAGCCAAATCTAGCAATAGCTGCTGTCCTTAGATTACTTTAACACAGCAGAGTGCAGTGGTAGTTCATCTTTCCCAGTGACTGGCTGAGATAGAGGTTTAGGCTGCACTTATTTACACTGGGGACTGGAGTACAGACTGCTGAGGATCTGGAGAAGTGCAGATGTTGCTTAAAGCAACATTTGTACACACTTCTCCTATGTTGCACTTTGTGTTTCTGGGCCCCATCAGAGGATCTGAGTGGTGTGGGATTGTAGTTTTTTGTATATGTGCCTAGACGCCATAGTAGGTTTATCTTTACAGATTGGAAAAATAGATAAATAAATCAAATGTAAGGGCAGGCAGTGATAGACTCCAGACTGTGAATGAAAGAGGCCAATGACCATGGAGGCAAATATAAGATTTTTGGTCAAGTAGCCACAACTGTTTTGTAACTTAAACATCAAACAATTCATTAAATGCCACTTTTCTTGGCAGCAGGAAAAAGGGGGAGATGAGGATTTCACAACTGAACACCAGCTTCCAAAGAAACTATACAGCTGAAGTCAGAACTTACAGCAACTGCTGGCATTTTTCTTGCAGCAGTGGAATAGAGAGAAACAGCACAGAGAAGAGCTTTTGAAATAGCTTTCATGGAGACAAACTGTCAGATCTTGAGAACAATCAACAAAGTGATAAATATTTAAATCACAAATATTGCTGTTAATCAAGACTCACCTCAGTCCTTTCTCACTGGTAAATTACTGCTTCCACTAGGTTAATTTGGACACAGTAGCTAATCAGGTACTTTCAGAATTGAATTTTTCTGGATGACATGAGACATTTTAAAAAAACAGTTCGATTTTTCTATTTTGTTACAGATGTGTAGAAAGTTGAAATGCTCCCAAGAAAATCTTGCTGCTTTGTGGATCAATTCCTAGCAGAATAATGAAAATTAGCTACAGCATAGCCCTCAGAGAGTTCAATGAAGCAACTGTTTCTGTGCTGAAATGCTCTTATATCTTGTAAATGACCAAAGACACATATTTAAACAGTACAAGCTGTCTGTAGTACATATAGCACTATTGATTTTTCCTTTCTGTAAGGCTAATCCATTTCTATTTATAAATAAACTCAAACCTATAATTGTATGTTTGTTTTAATTAAGGAAGGTTGTTATGCGTGTGAAAGTCATGCCACTTTGGGTTGTGAACCTATCAGATCTCATAAGCTAGGCAGCAGTGGGCCTGAGCATTACTTCGGTGAGAGCCTTGGCCAAATTCCAATTTGGGTGTTATTTTGCCTACCTCAACTCTCCCTACAGTTTTATCAGGATCTATTACACTTCTTGGCTTCCCACGCTAAACTACTGTTCATGGTTGCTGTATGCTGTTGAGCCACTGGCATTTTTTCACCCTTGATGGTGGAGGGCAGAATGATAGAGAGAGGGAGGAAGGGAGAGCATAATGTAGGAGTCATGGTTAAGGCTATGTTTTAGTCACAGGTATTTTTAGTAAAAGTCATGGACAGGTCATGGACAGTAAAGAAAAATTCACGGTCCGTGATCTGTTCATGACTTTTACTATATACCTCTGACTAAAACTTGGGGTGGGGGGCAGCTCAGGGGGACGTCCCTGAGGGCACCACGGGTGCTGAGGTTGAGGAGGGTTGGTAGAGCTGGGGCAGGTTCCCTATCCGACTCAAGGGAAATGGCGACCTCCAGCTCCTAGCTCCACGTCTGCCTCCGCTCCGCCCCAAGTCCCCATTCTGCAGCTCCCATTGGCTATGGGGGCGGTGCCTGCAGGCAGAGGCAGCACGTGGAGCTAGGAGCAGAAGGGGGGGAGTTCCTGTTCCTCTTCCGAAGAGCCCCCCTTGTAAACACCGCCCCGCACCCCAGTCCCCAGCCCTGAGCCCTCCCTCCTCACCCCAACTCACAAGATATTTATATGCCAGGTGCGCTAAAGATTCATATGTCCCTTCTTGCTTCAGTCACCACTCCGGAGGACATGCGTTCATGCTGATGATGGGTTCTGCTTGATAATGATCCAAAGCAGAGCGGACTGATGCACGTTCACGTTCATTATCTGAGTCAGATGCCACCAGCAGAAGGTTGATTTTCTTTTTTGGTGGTTCGGGTTCTGTAGTTTCCACATCGGAGTATTGCTCTTTTAAGATTTCTGAAAGCATGCTCCACACCTCGTCCCTCTCAGATTTTGTACGACACTTCAGATTCTTAAACCTTGGGTCGAGTGCTGTAGCTATTTTTAGAAATCTCACATTGGTACCTTCTTCGCGTTTTGTCAAATCTGCAGTGAAAGTATTCTTAAAACGAACAACATGTGCTGGGTCATCATCTGAGACTGCTGTAACATGAAATATTGTGGCACAATGCGGGTAAAACAGAGCAGGAGACATACAATTCTCCCCCAAGGCATTTAGTCACAAATTTAATTAACTCAGTGTGTTTTTAACGAGTGTCATCAGCATGGAAGCATGTCCTCTAGAATGGTGGATGAAGCGTGAAGGGGCATACAAATGTTTAGTATATCTGACACGTAAATACCTTGCAATGCTGGCTACAAAAGTGCCATGCGAAAGCCTGTTCTCACTTTCAGGTGCCATTGTAAACAAGAAGCGGGCTGCATTATCTCCTACAAATGTAAACAAACTTGTTTTTCTGGGTGACTGGCTGTACAAGAAGTAGGACTGAGCGGACTTGTAGGCTCTAAAGTTTTACATTGTTTTATTTTTGAATGCAGTTATTTTTTGTACATAATTCTACATTTGTAAGTTCAACTTTCACGACAAAGAGATTGCACTACAGTACTTGTATTAGGTAAATTGAAAAATACTATTTCTTTTGTTTTTTACAAGTGCAAATATTTGTAATAAAAATAATATAAAGTGAGCACTGTACACTTTGTATTCTGTGTTGTAATTGAAATCAATATATTTGAAAATGTAGAAATCATCCAAAAATATTTAAATAATGGTATTCTATTATTGTTTAACAGCCCTAAAATATTATTTTATTAAATAACTCACAGATTGGGGTTATTGTTGTAGTCCACACACTTTCCTCTGTGATTACTTCGTTTTGGGCTCAGATTTTCAAAGGAAAATCCCAGCCTTTATATTCAGTGCATATTTTCCCCGGAGTTGTGTGGGAGATTCACCATTATCGCTTACATTTCACACTGCATCTGATTGTTCCATTGTTGTGTGTGTGCTGTATTGATTCACTTTTTTTCAGGTGAATATATGCCAACATTTCTTTGTTGAATAGTGTTGACATACGTTAGGTTGGTAAACATGCAGTTTACAAAAGAGTTACTGTTCAGAAATTCATTGTAATGACATTTTTAGGCCTGTATATTTATTTGAATTTCTGGGCCTTCATTTTCAGTCATCCGCAGATGTCTATTCTGATGTTTTTAAAGCCAGCAGTCTACTTCCCTCCCTAGTAAAATCTGTAGGACCATTCTGTACAAGTTCCATGTTTCTGGTGTCTGCGCACTAATTCTGGTCCAGTACAGCCATCACAGATAAATAAATTAATGCTCTTTATTGGTGCTACAGCAATAAAAGACTCAACATCCTATGCCACAACATCCTGACCTGATCTGAATAGCTGTGAGAGACTGAACCCTTCTTGGATAGTTTCCTTAACTCCCATGGGAATTCGGAGTGTTCACTACTTTGCAAGAAGCATTCAGATTCTGAGAGGATGAGTCCCTAAATAAAAAGAAAAGGAGTACTTGTGGCACCTTAGAGACTAACAAATAGACACTTTTGGAACCTGAAAATGTGGTGTACAATATATGTTGTTCCTTATACAACACTGTAACTATACGGTATGCTTTCTTAATCTGATTTACCATAATGCGATCTTTGTCATTCATGAAACCTAAAGGAGGACAAAACTTTTTAAAATTGTCCAGCCAGTATTAATTTACAGTGCGGTAGTCTGCTCCAAGGTTATTGTGGTGGTTAACTTGACTTATATGCTTCATTAACACCAATGGCAAAAATTGTCTTGCCAGTGTAAGTAATTATAGAATACCTAGGTTCACCTCTGAAATGAATATGAACAGTGATGTCACAACTTACAGTTTAATTCACTTTCCAATCAAACTATTTGTAATTTTTATAAGGGAACTTATTGTACTAAACAATTCTGGTTTAACTGAGGCATCTTTGAGTGAATGTTTATTAACTAATCAAAAGTGAACTTGCTATTACCTAATCAAAAGTGTTAGTGGCTCTTTAAATCCTTTATATTTGGACAGAATCACTTTAGTCCTTTGAAATCAGTTGGTTATTAGAACCTGTTGGGTACCATTGGCCATATAGGAAGGTGTGTTTGCTGCTCAACTCACTAGCAAAATGCCTCAAGGAAGATAGTGAAAATTAAAAATGATCTATTACATTGAAATAATTGTTAAAGCTGTAGGGCCAATCCTGAATTTGTTACTCAGTTAAAACTACCAATCAGTTCAGTGGAAGTTTTGCCAGAGTATAAGGACTTCAGGATTTGGCCCATAATGATTAGGCCTCGAGTCTGAATGCTTATCTGCCATCATTACATTGCATTTTCCAGTGTGAGTTGTAAAAATGTTACTGCAACAACAGCTTCTCTGTATTTTTGGAGTGTTAACTCTGTGTTAACCTTGTCTTTCTTTTCATTTCTTGTCAGGATCGTTTCTTCTCACCGAGAATTTGTCGTCGACTTCACGCTGCCCTGGCAGCTGTTTCCACTTCAATGTTGATTTTATCCAATCTAGTGTTTCTCGGAGGAAATCAAGTTGGGAAAATCTACTGGAACAGGATCTTTGTGGAAGGCAAGTTATTTTGACATGCTGTAGGTGATAAGGCTTTCAAATGTTTCTTTGGGATTGCAAGGCCAGACTGTCATCTCAATTACCCTGTGAAAAGCTGAAGTAATTCTCTTGTCATTGTAACAGAGATCAGAATCTGGCCCACTGAATCTAAATAACATAAGTGGATTGGTAGTTGTTCTCCTTCACGTAGGGTATCAGTCCTCCTCGACCATCAGGGGTTGAAGGAGATAGTTCCCCTATCCGGGTGCCAGGCTTGCCTAGAAGTGAATTGACACTAATGAACAAATAGGCAGGGCATGATCATTTGGCCAGGCTGGAAGTTTTTTTCCCCAGCTTTAACATTAACATATCACATACATCAGTACAAACACTATCCAACCAAATCCAGTGCAGTGCATGCTCTCTATGAAAGGAACCCCATGAACAAAGTGAAATCAAGGCTCTGTAGCCAGCTAGTGCTACCAGACAGTCAGAGCTGAGCAGTGATAATCAGATGCCTCTGTGGTAGATCTGCCTGGCTGGGTGTCCTGCTGATATTTACAAAGGGATAATTCTTCTTGTGAGGGAAGTATCCACAGGTTCCTACACTCATAAGCTCCTCAGTGAGACCATTGATGTCTCCTGCTTCTCTGGAACTTGTACAAAATGGCTTCTCCCTGTGCTGTTTTCTCCTGCCCTTCTTTTACCTTAGCTTAGGGCCCAGCTTAGTTCAAAGAGTCCACTTAGGAATCATCCTAACAGAATGAACGTTTTCAGGGGTTGTATGATGTTCAGTGAATGTCTCTCTATAAAGGCAACCAAAAAAGAAATTAATCCACAAAGCTTAAACTCAATCAAATTGCATGAAGATAGGTAAATTTCTTCTTTGAGATGAGTGTCCCTGTGGGTGCTCCACTCCAGGTGTTGGTGCGTCCCTGTGCCTTCACTCAGAGATTTTTACAGCAATACTCGTACCGGGCACGCACGCGCAGAGCCTGCCCCCCAGCTCTGAGTGTACCTTAATAGTACACGTGCATGACTGGTCTCCTCAGTTCCTTCTCTACCATCCCCAGCCTGAGTATAAGGACTTCAGGATTTGGCCCATAATGATTAGGCCTCGAGTCTGAATGCTCAGCAGATTCGTTAGAGAATTTCTTCTCTCCCTTGTTCAACTTTTTTCCCCACTTCGTGAGCTTACCAGTAATAGTTAGGTTCCCTTTTTCCTTTCTCTTCTCTTTTTAAAAAAAAACAAAACTTCTTTGTTCCTGTCAGCGCAGCCTCTTCTGACATGCCTGGCTCTCTAGGTTTTAAGCACTGCTCTAACTGTAATGATGCCATCCCTCTTTCAGTTGGCCATTCTAAATGTATTAAATGTTTGGGGGAGTCCCACCTCCCCCAAAAATGTGCCCACTGCAGCATGTTGAAATCCAGGGCACGCAAAGACAGGGAGCTGTGGCTAAAATGGCTGCTGCTGCAAAAATCTCTCGGACCAGCCTCAGACCCGGGCTCTGACTCTGCTGTACACTGCAGCCCCCCTGCTTCAAAGAGACTGAAGAAAACTTCAAAAAAACATCAGTCTCTCTCACCCGCAAAAGGTATTCGCAGGGACAAGCCTTCTCCGAGGACTGCTTCCCTCCCTGTGCTCCCCCGGATGAGTTCCTTTGATGCCCTGGATTCCTCCAGCGCCGTGTGGAAGTCACCTGCGGCTGCGGCGGTCACACTAACCTCTGGTGCCGAGGCTTCAGGCTTTCAGTTGCCTACCTCTCACATGGCACTGTTCAGCACCGCAATGGAAGCGGTGCCGACGCATACTAGCCTGCCTGACCCCCCCGCAGACTCCTCTCACTCTCCTGGCACCATCAGCCTTTGAACTAGCCGGCAGTGACAGAACGCTTGGGGCACCGGTGCAGAGGAATCCCTCCTCGCAACCAATTCCTCTCGCTCAGCCCTCCCCTCACAGAGGCACTGCGGCACCGCCTTTCACACACTCAAGGGACCTCCTGGTGTCCCCTATCTTGCAGTCACTCCTACTTAACACCTGCTTCTCTCTGGACCCTCAGGCAAGGTCCACACCACTTTCCTCCAGTGATGAGGAATCTGGGCGGCAGGGAGAATTTTCACCTTATCAGATCTCCCATCCACAGACCCCAGTCAAGAGAGGTCATAGAAAAGCTGCCTCATCCTACTCCAAGGGTCCTGCCCCATGGTGCGTGAACCCCTGGATGGCACCACCCATGCCCTTACCACCACAGTGGCAATATTGGGCTCCATGGGCTCCTTATACTCAGGAGCACACTCATTATACCAATGCAGCCAGGCGTGAGACCTGCTCGGTACCACCAGCTGATGACCCTGCCATTGACTCCAGACACCAGGCAGTCCTGTCACAACCACAAGAGCAAGCACGGCCTGCCTCTAACCCGCTAGAACCAGTTCCGCCTGATGAAGCATTTCTTCCTCCTCCCCCGACATCTTCAGACGACTTCTCAAAATTTCAAGACCTGTTTAAAAGAGCTGCCAATGACCTACGAATTAATCTGGAGGAAATTCCTGAACAGCAGCATGAGCTAACTGACATCCTGCAGCCCTCTTCTTCTTCTAGAATTGCATGAAGGACTCCAGGGCAACTCTGCGGTCTCTAGGAATTCAAACTCCTATGACCAGAAGATGACAATATAGATATCAGCCTTACCAGTGACCACACTACCCCACATTCACCCAGCAATTCCATAGATCTCACGAACAACAGCAACGCCAGAGATCCAGGTACCAACGCCGCCGCCCCAACTCCTCGGCAGCGTCTCAACCCCCTCCAACCAATAAGCAAATTTGAAGCCTTGGTCGAGGGTATAGAAAACAATATTCCCACTTCAGCGCTTACACCACCTGCCCTATTTTTGGTCACCGCCTACGCCCATTCTCCCATCAATGGCGTGATATTACCATCGAAAAGTGGGCTTTGAAGGTCGTCACAGTTGGCGATTCTATCCCTTTCGTCTCCCTGCCTCCCTCCCACCCACCCTCCTCGTCCCTCTTCAGGGACCCCTCTCACGAGCAACTGCTCCTCCAAGAACTACAACATCTTCAGTTGAGGGCAGTGGAAATCGTACCCGAACAACACAGAGGGAAAGTTTTCTACTCCCATTACTTCTTAACAGAAAAGAAAACCGGGGGATGGTGACCGATCCTCGACCTCAGGCAGCTAAACAAACGTATCAAAAAGCAAAAGTTCAAAATGGTTACCCTCACCACCATAATCCCAGCGCTGGAGCAGAGCAATTGGTTTTCAGCCCTCGACCTACAGGACGCCTATTTTCATGTGAATATTCACCCAGCCCACAGACATTTTCTTCGTTTTACCCTTGGTTCGACACATTTTCAATACAGAGTGTTGCCCTTCGGCCTATCGAACCCCCCTGAGTTTTTTCCAAACTCCTAGCTGTGGTTACTGCCCACCTCAGGAAACGGGGTTGTAATATTTCCTTACCTCAACGATTATCTCCTCAAAGCCTCAACACTCGACGAAGCTCTTCGATCCATGCAGCTACTGTCGCTTGCTTCCTTTTCCTTGGTCTGCAAATAAACAAAAACAAATCCACCTTATCTCCTACCCAAAAACTGGAGTTCATAGGAGTGCACCTTGATTCCCGAACGGGAATAACATCTCTCCCGCTTGATTGTTTCAACACTCCTGGTTACAAAACTTCGCAACAATCCCCAGGTCACTGCACGAGACTGCCTGCAACTATTAGGCCACATGGCCTCGTGTACTTTTGTGGTCAAAAATGCACGCCTATACATGAGGTGCTTCCAAGCTTGGTTGGCCACAGTTTACAAACCAAATGTACACGCTCTAAACAAGCCTCTGTCCATACCCTTCAGAGTCAAAGACTCCCTCCGATGGTGGACAGTTCCCTCCAACCTCTGTTCAGGAGTCCCTTTTCTCCAGGACTCCACATCACTCACAATGACTACCGATGCATCCCTCATGGGATGGGGAGAGCACATGTCTCACCACATAGCCCAGGAGCTATGGTCTTCCACCGAAGCCTCCCTACACATAAATGTCCTAGAACTGGGAGCCATACACAATGCCGGCCGTCACTTCCTCCCATTTATTCAGAACCAACATGTTCGGATAATGACAGACAACATCGCATGCATGTTCTATGTCAACAGGCAGGGAGGGTCTTGATCTCACTTGCTTTGCACAGAAGCCATGAAGCTCTGGAACTGGTGCCTCACAAACAACATCCGGATATCAGCCGCCTATCTTCCCAGGGCCCTGAATACCACTGCGGACAAACTAAGCAGTTGTTTTCCCTGGGATCACGAATGGGAGATAAATGACACAATCATACGCAATATATTCCGTGTTTGGGACTATCCAACCCTGGACCTCTTTGCGACTGTGAAGAACAAGAAATGTTCCAAATTTTGCTCCAGAGTGGGATTGGGCAAACATTCCTTAGGAGATGCATTCCTGATCTCATGGGCTCAACACTTAATGTATGCTTTTCCCCCAATACCAGTTCTCTACAGAGTTCTGACAAAGATATGAACAGATTGTGCCACTGTAATTCTGATTGCCCCATCATGGCCCAGACAACTGTGGGTTCCATTCCTCACCAGAATGTCAATTCACTCACCGATTTCGTTGCCCCTCACTCCGAAACTCCTATCGCAACAACACGGCCGATTTCTTCACCCCAGCCTGTCCATGCTTCACCTCAAAGCTTGGTTCCTACATGGTTCTCCCAAAATGAACTAGCGTGCTCTGAGCAGGTTCAAAGAGTGCTGCTACATAGGTGATGTGAGTAGATTGTGTTCTGCTATCTCAGAAAGTGGAAGTGATTCACACAATGGTGTTCAACTAAACAACTTCCTCCTACTTCTGCACCTCTTCCGCCCATACTTGACTACCTATTAGACCTTAAGCAATCTGGCCTTTCTTTCACCTCCATCAAGGTCCACTTAGCTGCTATTACAACTTTTCATGACAAGATCGACCATACCTCTGT